AGGGCTCAGTCATGCAAAAGTAGCCCATGAGTAACAGCCAATAGACAAAAAAGTTTGAGAACACCCTGAACAGAGACCCCCTGCAGTGGAGCCGGCGCCTTGAGACGAGTTTGTCGGACGTCAGACAAGCCCAATCAGCAGGATTCGTAGTGCAATCAGTTGCCGGCAAGAGCATAGGAGAATCCCCTACGACGCTCCAGGCAACATATGTACACACGCAAATCCTTTTGCTAGCCGTTGTCTTACAGAGTTACAGTTGCGGTTGCACCGGTTGCAAAACTCACGCGTCCGTAGCTTAGTTCTATTTCAAATTACGAAAGTGGTACATTCTCTGCGAGTGCGGACAACGATGATAAAAGTGCAGAAGCATTTCGCTGATCACTTGATCGCAGGAAGTGCCTTCAAGTAACTCACCCGTAGGAGCTTCTGCCCCTCCGAGCGAGGAAATCGTAGGAAATTCGGCACGCTCAGTTGGGGGGGGGGATTGGGCACACTCGCAAGCAACTCCGCAAACTCTATACATGTGAATAAAGGACAGCCTTGTCAACACCCTTCAAGTCTTGTTATCACCTGTCAAACCCCCTGTGAGCTCCTGTCAAACTTGTCAAAATGACTTCTCAAGGTCAATACTTGGAAGAAAGGAGGGATAGCGTTCCAGTGACGCTACTACCATCTCTCCAATTTGATGGATGTTTGCGGGAAACTTCACAGGAATTACCAGGACTTGCAGAGTGAAACACGTTTGTGAAAAGACAAGAAAAAAAACAAAAACGCCTATTAAAGAAGCTCACAGGTGCGGTCCACCCTAAGGTCATAGGAGTCGAAAACCCTTTTCCTCATGGCTCACAATCGTTTGTTGTCATCGTCCAGCACTCGGTGTTCAACATCAGTAAGGCAGCGTTCACACTTCGCGATGGCAGTGCTTCGGTCGCGCGTTCGGCGCAATCGATGCCGTAGAAAGCATGCGCATCGATCGCGTCGAACGCGCGACCGAAGAGCTGCCGTCGCGAAGTCTGAACCCTGCCTAAACGAGAAAGTGGCGTAGAATTTGTGCCGGTATTAGTTCACAGCTTCAAAGTGCTCCCTGAAAAAAACGCCTTGGCATGGTGGAATAGAACCTCCAATCCCAGTAAAATAGACATCACATTTTCACATTTTTCACGTTTTGCTGGCTTATCTGTAGGTTTCTACTTCAGTGAAGACAAAATCGATTTGTTTTGCAGTGATGCGTGCAGCTATCTATTCAATGAAATTCTTTTGCACTGAATCACGTAAACAGCACTGACGAATTAGGCAAAGGCAAGCAATAATGATTTTGGAATTTATTCCTGATAGCCTTTTGCTGACTCATAAATTCTGATCACGTGATTCAATGCTTTTGCTTTTCGCTGAAGAGATAGCTGCAAGTGTACCTGCACGCTACGGAGTCTAGTTTTCAGTGCACTGAACCTGCCTGGAGTCTTGTCAGTGAAATAACAAAAGTATGAAAGGAAAAAAGATCCACGGATTACAAAGCTTCTGGAGATACGCATGGCAGTTCAAAGGCCTTAGTCTGCGATTATGCGATGTGTACAATCCTTTATCTGCCTGAAGTAACCCGAGTCGCAGTCACAGAGTCACTTTTGGTGCTTGCAAGAAAGTCTCAAGGCCGCTGGAGATGTGTCCGTAAGGTCAGGCTCCGCCCATAGTGGACGAACTCCGCCTTTCCATCCTTTTTACCCTCCAATTACCGGATAGAAATGAGGTTGTTGAACGTTTTCGCCGTTCGCCTTTCTTCAACTTTTTCTCCATTTCGTCGTCTGCTTCTCTTTTGCACGCTCCTTCGTCGTAAGCTAGTGCAGTGCTGAAAAAAAGCAGCAGTCTTGTCTGAAGGTATGTCAACGGTGCTAGGGAAAGGATTTTAAGACCGCCAGAGGTTGTAGAATGTCCCAGGCTCCCCCTTTTTCCTACTTTTTCATCGTTGTCATTTGATTTTCTCTTGATTTCTCTATTCTGGTAGCTTCACTATACCATACCAGTCTGTTTCTTGATCTCACTACTGACAGTAGTAATCGCGGACCGTGTCTTTAAAGACAGTCCCTGCGCTCGAGTAGCTCGTAGGTATCCTTTCACTTTCGCGGCTTCACAGTAAGTGACGAAGGTGCTGTGACCCTCATAAGTGGCAGTTCTGACGCCTCTTCAGTTGTCCCGCCCACCAAAACTCAGAGGCTATTTTCCGTCAAAAGTTTTAGTTTTTACACCATGTTCCGTTTTTTTTTTTTTTGGTATTAGTATTGAATGACGCAGAGAAACTATTATTGAGCTAGAGGTGGCACGATGTGGCTCTGCTGGTGCAAAACGAGCAGATCCGGCAAAATCGGCCAGGAAGGCTACCAGGTCTTCATTTAGGGTGTTTGCCGTGGTGTGTTTTCGGGTTTTTTTTTCGCAAGAGTTATTTAGCGACTATAGTTTTGTAAGTGAGCGCCATTATTCACAGTATACAGTCGCGGGGTTTGTCTGAGTGTTCTGTGGATCTAACCTGGTATAGAGTTACTGCTCTCTGGTAGAATATGGTTTGTGTTGGAGTGAGAAGTATTTCCGATGTAATTAGTGTTTGGTCAAATGCACTTTGCGCTCCAATGACAGCAGCGCCGCGCACGCATGTCATCGCTTTTGATTTACAAAAACCGGCCACACTGTCAAAGTAGTTTCCTGTTCTTATTTCTGTACATTTAGTTCCTTTTCGTAATTGATTCCATTTCAGGATTCGGAATTTCTACGTCGCTTTGGGATTATGCTTTTAGTACCGTTGGGATGGGTCCACTCTAGAAACATTTGCATCATTTTATGTTCTAATGTCATTAGTATCTCTTCCTCACGTCATCTACTTCATCTGTTTATCTGGTTCATTCCGCAATAGTACCAAAATGGCGCACATTCTCTTCTGTGTTCTCAACGATTGTACGTTTTTTATTTTCACAAGGTTGTCTTACTGGATATTTTCTCGAAAACATTCTCTTCTATGTTCTCAACGATTGTACGTTTTTTATTTTCACAAGGTTGTCTTACTGGATATTTTCTCGAAAATGTGATATTTTGTCGAGGTTTAATCTTCCCCCCATATCATCCATCTAACAAGGTTGTTTGGTGAGAAGACATTTTAGCTTTTGTTGCTGTTGAGTACTACTTGAAATTTTATTTTATTTGTTAGTGAATACTACTAACATTATTTGTTTTGTATGCTACAAAGTCTGGCTCACATAATCGTTACCTACAATGGCGAACAACTCATGTTGTTTTATTTGCTAGAGATCTTTGTTACGCTGATTCAGGTGTTGTACATGTAGTGGAAATAAACCTGTTTTATTTTTTGTTCATTATTTAATGAGGAGATTGCAAACTGCGGTAACTACACCGAGTATACTTTTTGTGAAGCTTTCGGTTCCCTTCGTTGACCCATAAAATGTTTGCTTTTTGAGACACGATACTCAATCTGGAATGTTTCTGAGATATCATTTGGACGAGAACGGCAGACGTGTGTACACCCTTAAGGTCCGGTTTGATTTTATTAGTTTGCGCCTTTTGGCTTACGACCACGGAAAGGTAAGGCAGCGTGCATAACTTGCATCAGCGTTCTCAGTGAGTGCTCACCAAAAACCTCACAAGCACTTATACGCTGACACAAAGTATGAACGCAGCCTAGCACACATTAGTAATAGTAAAAGCAGCAGTAGTACTCGTAAGGAGACGTCGAAGTAGACCAAAAAAGGAGAAGTTTGATTGTTGCCTTGTTGGACCTTTAAAACCTTAATACTAGAGAGCTGAGCTATTTTATTCCTTCTCATTTTGTAACGCAGCTGAGTAGGGGCTATCTTATTTCTTCTTAATTTTGTGAAGCAGCTGAGCAGGAAGATGATGAAGACTGGTAGTAAATGAGTTGGGTGAGAGCCATCCCTCAATCTGGTAAGCGGGCCATCCGCGGTCTTGTAGGTACATGAAACATTGATCGAACGTGGAGCACAGGTTGCTCATTGCTCTCTCCCCCAATCAGACCTTGCTATCGTTCTTTATTTTTTGAAATCGATTAAAAAGTGCATTCTTTTTTTCGGCCATGCGACAGTCTCTGAAAATTAGTGCTCGAGATTTAACTGATTTCAGCTCCGGCGAGATTTCCGTATTTCAGCTACTCGTTCTTTTGCCGATTTGTAGGACCGAACCTGTCGCTCATATAGGCATCATTCTTGCAAGAAATTTTTTGGTCTTGTAGGGATTGAACCTCTTGTTCTAAAGAATACATACAGAAAGAGAAATCATTGAAAATGGGAATCCATTTACTATGTTGGGAAATTGACGAAAAAAATGAGATATATTGAGGAGGGTGGAAAGCAGAAAAAGCTCAGCTTTCTGCCCTTAAACGGAAGCCGAGCAAAACCATAATTCTCCTCTGCTCTTTAATACGTGGAGGGAAGAACATCGAAAAATCTGCCCTCCTGACTGCTCGGCTGTCCTTGCCATCAATAGATATCGCAGTTAAAAATTGAGTAGTTGGTCGACAGATTCTTTCGAGTGCATTTTGCTGTCTACTATATAAAATGGAGTTTCAGAAGACTGCTCCGGACGGAACAGAAACTGTGTCTGCACATCCAGCTCGTTTCTCTCCTGAGGACAAGTACAGTAAATATCGTGTGATCATCAAGAGACGCTTTGGATTATTGCCTACTCAACAGGCGAAAATTGTTTACTGATTGATTAGAGAACTCTGGATTAGTAGGCATCTTTGTTACACTGTTATTAGATTGTTACTTCGTTCTGTACACTGGTTACGTTGATCTGACCAGAAGTGTTACATTCTTATTCTCTCGAACATAATTTTTGCCATGCTTTATTGGGAATGGAGGCGCATTTGGAGGCAGAAGATTCGGAGTATAGTTCCTCGCACGAAAATTACATATCAGCAGGTGCGTTAATTCAATCGCTGAGTCTCGTTCATACTTCGCGACATGAGTTCGACTGCCTTTGGATTCGGGAATGGTGAGATTAGCAAATTGCTGCTACCGTTGGCGCCCGCCACTATTGTCGGACCGCCGTGACTGAATGGGAACGAGTTGAAAGTTGCAGTGGTCCAAGGATTAGCGGTAGATTACATTAGGTGGAAATCGCGCGATCACCATATTGTGCGAAGTATGAACGCGATTCAAGGGCTTCTGGTACTGCACAGTTCTGCAAACAAATTCGGTTTTATTTAGTACGCAAACCGACGAATTATCATCGCCTTTGTAATGTTTTTCATTGGATGGAAAGTGATTGGTGTCACGATGAGTGATATGATGTTATGGACGGTAAATGAAGAAACTGGTGAAGGGCGTATGTTGACCCCAGCCGAGGCACGAAAGCGACGGTAATTCCATCTTCTGTATTTTCTATTTAGTTTTACGAAGTTATTGTTTCTTGGCATTTCGTGAGGATGTTGATCCATAGGAAAAACGAAGTCTGACAACATTCCAAGAAATCATAATGAATGGGATTGGGCCAGGGTTTATTGGGGAGGGTACCTAGAGCTGCATTCTCATTTATCTTTGACTGAAAGGGGTATGTGACCAGACAGTGGTAATTCGCCGCGCTGGTGGGCGTCGCGTGCGACATTACGACAGTAGGGTATGTGACAAGAGGATCGTAATTTGCCGCGCTGCTGGGCGTCGCGTGCGACGTCCCGCCCGCAAAGGACGATGGTTTCAGGCAGTAGATGGCGACAACATGCAATTAAGGAACCG